TTCTTTCTATAGTTTCTTTCATTTCCGATGAAATATTTTACCCAAATACCAAACCTCACAAGATATTTTTGGTCATAATCCCAAAAATATCTATAACAGCAAGGGTACTGAACCAATGGATCAATTCATTTTAAAACTTTGTTTCTTTACATAAACCTAGTTAAACTAGCATATAAAATTTACTACATTTTCTATTTTTGGCTCTGATTTATTTAGTTAGTTTGTTTTGGTTAGAAATTATTGATAATTCTCAGACTTATGAGTTCTTAATCAACATACAGGTTTGACATACAGAAAAGTTCTAGAGATTACCTGTTTTTTGGACTTCTTCAACAGCAGATAACATTTCATGTTGTATGTCAGGATTTTCACTCGCAATATCCTGACCTTGCTGAATGAAATTTTCTGTGGCTTTCTCAACAGCAGCCACCAAGACATGAGCTCGTTTCGAACGACCCTTTTTCTTTTTGGATGGTCCTTTAGTATTGACTAAGGTTGTAACCTAAACAAGTAAATAAACCTTTGGAGGTTAGAAGAAGAGCACCAGTTCATAAGCACCAAAAAAAAAGATAATACACTACATTATACATTGGTTACCTCAACTTGTACCAAATACAATGGTTTGTTAACACTTTACTGCATAGTTCAGATGTATCCAAATAAACATTTATAACCACTGACTGCAAAATTTGGATTTATCCCATGGCTACCAAAGAAAGTTTCCCTCTACTTCAACATTCGGGAATATCCCCCTGTACTTGAAACAATCGCCAGACCTGCATGTGTGCTGCCATCTGTGTTCTATGCCATGAAATCTGGATGTTTATATGGCACATTAAAAAACTGCCAACTCTGTAGAAACACATATAGAATCTATATAAGGAAAGCTTTATATCTTGGATATTGTTGTCTAAATAATTTGTTTTATATTATGTAATGATTTTGGCCATGCTATTAACTTAGTTTCACCTATATTTATGCCATTTACTGGAGAACACTTTTCTTCTAATTTTCCTCAATTTTTGGTTTAAATCCTTATTTTTTACTATCCAATACGGTTTTCAAGGAATATTACTATCAAATATAGAACATAAAGCTCCTTTCACTATTGAAAAAGTAATACAAAGGGTCAAATTCACACTTTTATTTTTGGTGGATAATTGACACTTTTTGCACAGTGAAAGGGTTAAGGCAGTTTAAAAAGAATTTTTAAGCTGAAATAATTATATTCCAATTATATTTCTTTTGTTTACCTTTAACAAGACACAATGAGACTTCATTTATACATATATTTTACAGATTTCAAGTAATTTTTCACACATACCTGGATGACAAGAGGCTCCAGGGTTTTCTCAACTGAGCGGGTACATATTTCTAAGTTTTTGGGGTCCCACTTCAGTGCCATTCCACCTAGAAGACCATCGTTAGTCATTATGAGATTCCTTACGTTCGCTCCAATAACCGTTCCCTAATAAAACAAAATAAATCATAAATGTATAAATAACATTTACCTATTTTGACATCCACCCTATTCCTATAAACATTATTTTTTGTGAATTTATTAATGGCATAATGGATGTTTATGAAAACATTTCCTGCTTAAAGTGTTTTTGTCTCATTCCTTACATATTTATACATAATCAGCTTCGGTATTAAATAAGTTAAATGTTTAAGCTACACTATCAACATTTCATCTAAAGTTATTTCTATTTTCTGGATGAACTTCTTCAGATATCTTGATTGTGTTGTTTCATCATCAATAAAAAATGGTTATTCTCAGGACCATAGATATGGATATTTTACCTAATATTCTATCATTTTGACTCAACTTTTGATACTTCAAAGTGTGTTACACAGAAATACAAGTGCAAAGGTCATGACACGATGCAGCTTGTGGAAACTGCTCACACAGCAGATGCACATTGAGATATACAAAGAAACTTCCTCCAAGTAAATGATGTTTTACTGCCTTAATAAATTTTACTGCAGTCTCTCATTTTTTAACCATTAGTCACATTAATGAAAACATCCAGCAACTTAAAAAGTGAAGCAATCGACATAATTACTGCCCTGCTTATTAGCCTATAAGATCATCTAAGCCTAATTATTAATTAGTAACATAATTTGTTTATTACAAGATACAGAACCACCACTAGTGCTTCTATATTTACATGGCCTCATGAGGTTCCAAAGCTGCTCCAAGCCATCAAGACTTAATAAGCACTTTAACCATGTCAAGAATTTTGAGTGTTATTTCAGTTAAAACATACATTTAAAATGAAATACATAATTATGTTAAATTTACTGTATTAATTCATTACAACAAAAAAGCAATCATCAAATTAATTTTATTTAGTACAAGGAATATACATATAACTAATATTTCAGAAGCAAATGGTAACATTCAGGAGCTATCTCACAAGAACTTGATTAAGAAATTGTTGTTAAATAAAGTTTGTGAAAAACAGCTGACAAGTTATTTGGAAAGTTACAAAGGTAAACAATTCAAAACAAGAGTTAACCAAGAACTCAAATGAAGTAATAACTTAGCAAGGATAAACATACCAAATATTAATCAATTACTGAAATTAATCAAAAATTATTTAAGTTAAGGGCTAAGAAACTATAAATCTGATGTGGCAAAAGGAAAAGTGAGAGCTACGAGATGAACCCCCTAAAAAAATAAAATAAAATAAAGAAACCCAGCAAAATTATATACTTTAAATTTTGTTATTCCTTGCAACTTGGCAGAAACAACAGTTGACAAAGAACTGAGTGACAACCACTAGACAGCTAAGGACATCAAAAGATTTTCAATATTTTGAAGAAACAATGAACAAAGATAATAACAAGATCTAGGAGCTCTATACATCACATACTGGTTCCAACCACAAAATACTGCCAACCTAATGAGACTTACATTACTAACACATGGACCTATACAAGTTAAAGTGGTTATTTCTTGACCTAACAAAAAACAGCCTGGAAGACAATTTTTAGAGAATTATTTTCAGAAAATTAAAAATGTGATAAGAAGTGTTACATCTACCATTGTAATATTCTTGAAAACTAGAAGTATGTTCTGTTTTCCCTGCAAGACGTTTACAACAATAAATTACAGTTGAATGATGAAGATTTCTGCTCCTGGCAATATATCTATCTGTTTGTATGCGTTATGTCATACAATCTATAGTATATACTAAACTTTTCATACACGTCCTCACGTAGATGTATTACCCTTGGAATGCATATAGAGTACGCTATGGGAATCACAGTTTTTATGCCCCAATATGTTGCTAAGATCACAATAAGCAGGCTTATTTAAGAGTTATGAAGTAAATACTGTGGCTTCTCTAACATTCACTGCTTTATTTCTGCAACTATACTTCACTGTTCAGACATAATAAACTATCAACTATGCTTGTACTTGTACAAGAGGTTTCCCTACTTATCATCCCAGAAAATTCCATGCACTGAATGTCAAATAAATCTTACAATTTATCCCACATAAGTATCAAGTACTAGATGCCTGTAATTAGTAAAATGTGGACTGCATAATGTATATCAACTTTTAATTAAGGTGAACAAATTATGTAACACTAATACTAATAGAAAAAAAGCTATAGGCCTTATAGTTATAAGCTTTATGAAAGTCTTACAGTTACACTTATAGCAACAAATAATAAATTTACAGTGCTAAAAATCTAAACTGCAGGATTATATACAAAAGTTAGCATAGATAAAAAATGGAAGAATTTTCCAAGAATTCTTTTATACATCATACTGCTGGCTCATGAATAACGGATTTTTTTAGAAACGTGGAATAACTTCTTCCAAATTCAATGACTTGTAAATATAAGTTATAAACTAATAATAAAGTTAATAAATTACTGGATCGTCAGACATCATTGTGACAATGAGAGTGTGAGTTTATACTGAAGTCTGAACTCTCGGACTTCCCCAGTTGTTATTGTTAGTTGCCTGTTCTATCACTGTATCAGCGTATTTAAATTTTAAGCCTAAGGCCTAATAATAATATACCAGCATCACCTGATAATGAGATATTATGTACTTTTAAGTTATTTTTGTATATATATTGATACATTAAGTTTATCCAGCGAAATCTTTTCATTCTTAATCTCTAATTAAGGAAGATATATTTTAGCAACGACAATGCGAGGCCTAATTAACTGATAATGAATATATTGTGAAAAGCTACGAAGGAAAAAACACCACCGACTCACCTGAACTTACCTATCAACCAAGGCCACTCCTCAAATGACAAAATGGCGAAGGCGGAAAAGGAAATATGATTCATAACACTTTGGTATTTTATTTGGGTACCGTCTATTTACAAACACTTCAACTTTTAACTCGTATGCAACCACGGGTTGCGCTTACTTTATATATATATGTTCATAATATATTTACATGTCTTAGCGTATATATATATATATATATTGTACTTTACAGTAGTTAAAATCCTGAGGCTGAGGTATAAGTTTTGGAAGTTTTCATGCAAATAAGCCCTTATCCACGAAATCAATAATTAAAAGTATATGAAACGTTTGAAAATTTATAAGAATAAATAAATGTTTAGCATTAACAAAATCAGCGTTATTTTTTCTGTCAGTATCTTCAGAAGAACTTTAAGTATACGTTAAACAATAAATTGATGCTCCCAAAAAATTATTTATCAATATCTGTCGTAACAGCTCCCCAGTAATACAGCGATATGTCTGCAGACTTACAACGCCAGAAACCAGGTTTCGATACCTGTGGTGGGCAGAGCACAGATAGCCCATTGTGTAGCTTTGTGCTTAACTTCAAACAAACAAACAAACTCTCGTAACAAGGAGATTGTGGTAAATACAATCGTTTGTTTACTTTCGCACGAAGCTACTCGAAAGCTACCTGTGCTAGTTATCCCTAAATTAGAAGTGATAGACTAGAGGGAAAGCAACTAATCAAGTGCCAATTCTTGGGCTATAGTAGGTTTGACCGTCACATTATTACGCGCCCACGGCCGAAAGGGCGAGCATGTTAGGTGACGGGAATTGAACACATATAATTTGTCAAGTATTGTTGTCTTATTTCTTCTTCTCATCAATGTCGTCATCTGCCTTGGTCTTCTTTCTGCCTCCTTGACTTCCGGACACCTCTCTAAGCTTCAAATTAGTAGATACGACCTGACTCTGTAATTTCTTTTAACCCCACGAAATTAACAAAATATATTTTTTCGTGAGCGGGGCGAAGATGGATATCAATATCCCTAAATACCCCAGTTTAGGAAGGTTTATATTTCTGTTACGTATCTGCTCGTTTGATAATTTCCCGTAAAAATTCTTTCCGAGAAACTTCAGCGATAGAAGTTCTTTCTTAAATAAAACTAGTTTATTCTTTCTCAATACAACTTTACAGTACGCTTAATTTCCACAGTCACTTTAACTTAAACACACGCTATAATTCACAACGATTCACACACTTTACTTACGACTTGACTCGATTATCTGACTCTATAACACCCTATTTGCAATTATCCCTCCGCTTTAGTTGCCGGCTTATATACTAAAATAGAGAGCGCGTAGAAAAGACTAGAGTTGCCAGGAACAGTCACGATCCTTCTAGAAACTCATGACATGTTACTAGCGTCACGTGACTTCCGCTGTCGTAACAATATGATTACTACAAAATGTTATGAACATAATTTTTTAGAGGACAGCAGCCTTTTAAAATGTATATATATTTAAATTAAATTTATTTGTATACAGTTTAGACTTCTTGGAAATATTATTATTTAATAATTCATAGTTCTGTTGTGGGTGTGAAATACCTTTCTGGGTGTAGCTCCTTGTTTTAGTAATTCATACCCAAAAATGTGTGAAACAACACTTTTCTAGATTATCTTATTACGTTCTAAGAACTTTTGAGTGAAAGTAAAGAAGAATATATAACAATGTATGAACCATACTATATCTGCTATATCCAGTGCTTATGAGGTCTTTCGTCTAATACCAATGCTCATCAAACGGATTGGGATGTAATAGACACATTAGTACATGAACAACAATGTTGGATATACAAGACTATTTAGTGTAGGCATTATTATTTAATTTATTTTGTGAGTCAATATTTAAAGAGAGTTAAAAGTTAATCATTTTAAAGGTGATAATTATGACAAGTTTGGTTACGTAACTCGGTAAGAGTCGTAAGCTGTGTTTGCAATTACATTGTTGTCCAGGCTTTACTAATATTGTTGATGTCTTGTTACTCGAATGTACGGTATTTTTCTCCTTACTTTAAATGTGTATTGTTAAATCAGCGCCGTTCACGTACTTTACAGAAGGTTCGAGGTCTCAGTGATCAACGTATAAATATAGGCGACCAAGCGATCGCAAGTTAAGAACTAAAAAAGCAGAGAAAAAGTCAAGTGTAGTTCAGTTAGAAAATTATTTAGCGAAAGAAATTTTGAAGTTAGCCAGCATGTGGGTGATTAGCCACAATGAGTGAAATTCTAAAATGAGTTTCACAGTTTAACAGAGATAAGGAGAATAATTTGTCTTGTCAAAGGGTGTTCTAAAGTAATTGAACCCGTCTGTGTGGACTTTGACGAAAATAAGACAATTATTTGAAGTTCAGGATACAACTGTGGTAACCTACGGGATAACGTAAGTGAATTATCCACTGATACTATTGTGAGAAGAGAAGAAAAAATAGTTCGTCTTGTCAATTGGATTCTATAGGAATTGAATCAGCCTATGTGGACTTTTGACAAGAAAAGATAATTGTTTAAAGCTTTAGATACAACTGTGATATCCATAGTGTAAAGAATTTGTATACATAGTTTGACTTGTTTTGAATATATTATTTTAAAACAAGTGGATTGTATGCTGTTTGTTTATTGTTCGAATTTATCGCCAACAAGTTATAGATCCCTACTGTAGAAGAATCCTTATTACTCATACACATAAAACCCTGACAAACAACTATTATTTTATGAACTAAATTAAGTTTGGAAAGGTCAAATTTTTATCAACACATTCTGTGTCAAGCTATTGTGATAATCCCGCCATTTTGAGTAGGTTTCATCAACAACCGTAATGAACTCAACTCCTATTTAGTCTCAGTCTGACGCATCAAACACCAGCGAATCAATAGCTTCTCAGCGGGATTGAATGTAAAAGAAATGAGTGAAGGTATTCTTATCTTCAGCAAAGTTTTATCTATCTTTCTCACGTTGCCTCAATATCTGACTGCTGAAAACTCTTCCTAATGAATTATTCTAAAACAACTAAAACGACTAGGTCATGATGACTGCCAAACACTAAGATTTTTACCTGGTAAGCCGCTCAGTTTTGTTATTATACTAATTTTTGGATAGGTAGCAAAACTGACTTATTGTTTATCAATTTGCCCATTTATTTGGGAAGTTAAATCAGATATATTGAGAGTGTGTGTGTGTGTGTTTTTTTTTTTCTTATGGCAAAGCCACATCGGGTTATCTGCTATGTCCACCGAGAGAAGTCGAACCCCTGATTTTAGCGTTGTTAATCCGTAGACTTACTGCTGTCCCAGCTGGGGACTATATATTGAATGTTTTACATAGTGCTTTATCATAACAAAATGCTATTTTTCTATGAGAGTCTATGGGAAGCCTCCTTTGGTTCTGTCCCTTTTACAGTTATGCTGTTCCAAAATCTTTTTGAAGTTTTATTAATGTTTTTAGACAGTTGTTCAACTTACTGGCCACGTTTTTCGGTTATAAGTTCCTCTCGCCATTTTTGTTATACCTTCAAATATTCTTAGATTGTAATATTTTCAACTCTTACTGTCACTCCTGATACAGATAATAATATAACAAGATTTCATTTAGTTTATTTTGGAGTTAATTTGATTATAATAACACACTCTAATGATGAGAGTATTTGATGATACTAACACAAACATACTATTGGTTATAATTTGATGATACTGACACACTCCATTGTTAATAATTTGATGATACTGACACACTCCATTGTTAATAATTTGATGATACTGACCATATTGTTCTCTAATGATGTGAGGATTTGAAAATACTAGCACACACCAATGACACGGGTGTTAACTAGCTAAGCCTTAAGCTTTTAGATTTAATAGTTACTTAACAATATATCTGAGTCTAGTTTTAAAGGGTTCGTATGTCGACAAATAACCTACTAAATAGCCCATTTTGTCTTTAGTAATGCCTATTTTGATATTATGATATTTGATTTGAAATATATCCTCCAAACTTCTAATGGGTTTTATAAATTCTAGATTTTAGCGTTTTAGTCTTCTCATGAACGAACTGATAGTCTGCTGGACCAGATCTTACGTTTTTTTTTTGTGTGGAGCCATATGATTAGCCTAAACCACATTTGTTACGCAATGTTTTTTTTTGGCGATTTTAAATTTACAATTTTGACAGTTGCACACAATTTTCATATATTAATGAATTTCATAATATAGTTTGTCGCCCCCCCCCCCCAGTGGCACAGCGATATGTCTGCAGACTTACAACGCTAGAAACCGGGTTTCGATACCCGCGGTGGGCAGAAAACAGATATCCCTTGTGTAGCTTTGTGCATAATTAAAAACAAACAAACAAATAGTCTGTCGCCAAATGGAACAATGCAGGACTATATTATTATGTAATACTTGCAATAGATGGCGTTTCTAGATTTTCTGGTGTTCGCTTGTTTATGTATTCAATATTTCATCAGCAGTATCTTTAGGTATTGATATTTTCAACATAAGTGGCAATTTAAGCCATATATGTGTTATAAGACCAGGTCAGAAACCTCTACACCTCACGTATACCCATATATAACTCAAAACAGTTGATCTGAGCGAGGGCAATCGGTCACAGCATCATACGACTATTCTTGAAACGAATAACGGAATTGGTTGTCACAGTTACAATGTTGACAGCGCTATACTGCGGTTCGAAAGTATAATATATAATTTGAATATATCAAAGTGAGAAGGAGGTGGATTGGTTTGGTTTGTTTTGAATTTCGCGCAATGCTACACTAATTGCTAATTTAGTAGTGTAAGACTAGAGGGAAGGCAGCTAGTCATCACCAACTATTGGGCTTCTCTTTTATCAACAAATAGTAGGATTGACCGTCACAT